CTTTCCTTTTTTTCTAACATTAAACTTAATTGACTGATTTTACTAAAATATTTCTTTTCTATGTCATTAAAAATAAATAAGAGTTCTAATGTAAGAAATGCTAAAGAACAGCAATTACATATCCACTCTTAAAAGCTTAATGCGAACATAACAAAGTAAGGAATTTGTAGATTAAAGACTTCAAGTACTGAATATATACGAAAAGCTAGCACCGAACAAGMACCAAAGCAAAAACAAAATGCAAAGTACAAAAGTGAAACAAGAAAACGGTGAAAAAACAAAAACGCTTTCAATTTAACACACAAAACTAAGCCAGTGCGCGCTGTGAAATGATACAATTCGTAAGAAGTGTAGCAGCAGCAACAACAAGAAATTAACAAATAAAAATTTTAAATTAAATAAAGAGCAAAGTGACGAAATACAGACAAACAAAAGCTGACAAGATACATTACTACATTCTAGTGAAATCCAACAGTAGCAACAGCCAAACACACACAAACGCACACATTTGCATATGCACGAGCGCCGACTCACATACGTATGCGCACAACTTCGAGCATACTTACAAATCTACACCTACATACGCTAAAGTGTTGAGGAATAAGTAGCACTATACATACATATGTATGTGTGTACGCGCACAGCGGCGCGTCGAGTAGCGGGTGGATAGGTAAGCAGCGAGTTCGTAAAAGGTGAAGACACTTTGCTGGGTTATTTGCGTATGTGTCTATATAGCTTAATGTTAACCGGTAAATGTGGGTACTGCATGTGTCATTGTGTTATGTTGGGGCATGAGGTAAAATAAAATGAAATATCTAAATAAAACAAAAAAAAAAAAAAATCATAAAATAAAAAGCGAATAAAACGGCTTGTGCGAAAACAAAGCGGCGACGACGACGTCAAATTGCATAGTTAGGCGACATAAAGTGCATACGCGCACCCTACGACGAGYATAAAACGAGCAACAACAGCAATTGAAAAGTGTAACAATTGYCGCGCCACACACACAATTCACCTGCATGCACATACAAACAGACACACACACACSCGCGCTCATACATACATAYATACAAGCACAAGCAACAGCAGCCGCACAAAAAAATTAACATCTTTTACAACAAATTCGGCGCACACACATCGGCCGGCACCACCCAATCGACCCACTCGGCAAGCATAACTAACGACAAACAAAAACACGACAAAATACTACAAACTACACAACTCACCGGCAAACAGCCGAAATTTACTTTAACGAACGGGCGGACGAACGCTTACAACCCACTGGCAGCGGCTAGCAAGCCAGCCACGGCCGAGCAACATAGCCGGCTAGCCAAACATCCACCAGCCYAACGCATGCGGCGGACGCGCGCGCTCGGGCATAAGCCAAGAAGCCGAAAAAAAAGGCGAGCGGCAACGAAGCACGCGTCGAGAGTGAGCGAGTGGCGAGGTGGTGCGTAAAGGYACGCATACATTGACAGACCACCAGTAAGCAGCCAAACAGCAACCCACTAAACTGCTAAACTGCCAGCTTAGTGCGCGCCAATATGTGAGTAGTGACGGCGCTGCCGTYGTTGTTGGTGGTGGTGGTGGTGGTATTAGGACGACGACGACGCTCTGTGTATGTGGAGCAAATGCTAAGCGCTGAGCGTGGAGCGTGAAACGGCTGCGCGCATGAGTGTTTGTGTGTGCGCGCGCGTGTGAGTGTGTGTTTGCGGTTTGCCGCATCGGAGCAGCTTGTCGTCTGATAACTCATTAGTATGCCGACGCGTTCCAAGCGGTACGGTGCGTTTCACAAACGGGGTACGAACAGTAGCAACGGTAGCAGCAACAGCAGCAGCGACAGACGAAGCGKCCAAGTGGCAGACAAGTGACACAGGCAAAGTCAAATTGCAATTCTACAARTCGAAGTCGAAAGCGAAATCAAAGCCAATTGCAGCAACAACAACAAACCGACAATTTTTTCAATACAAAGCGCTAACGAAAAATGAACGAAATTTCAACACAAATTACAGTAGAAAATTTGTAAAAAATATAGCGCGAAAAATATATCCGTTCGTCAACTGATCGTAAACGAAGTTTATTAGTTTTTTTTTTAAATTTTTTTTTTGTTTTTTTAAAGTGCAATTTGCAACTGTGCGTTGGTGCTTGCGTGCTTTTGTGAATACGCGATTCGATTTTGTTTTTGTTTTTGTTGGTAAAGTCTACATTTTAACAGCTACCTACCGAGGCAAATGCCTAAGCGGCACAGACACGCGGTTCAAGTGGTAAAAGCGCGCTCACGCAGTTCCAAAGCCAACGGTGTGCAYCTAGCTGGACAGCGCGGTCGGGTCAAGCGCGCCATACCGTTCAAGAGAGGCTGTGCCRAGATTTCCAGCAGCGCAGCAGCTAATGTGCGCAATGCCTCAAGTGCGCGTTGCGCTTATGGGGCGAACTTTTAATACATRAGTTACGCCGATTCAGAGTTTCGAAAAAAATCCGAAAAAATTTCATTTAAAAAAAAATTAKAAAATTTGTGTTCAAAAGTGAATTACGCCAATATTTTCCAATACAAAAATTTTAACTTGGAAATTCCGAACAACAACAAAAACAAAAAATGTTTGTGTAAAATAAGTTCTACGTGTTGTTTAAACTAAGAAATTCCGAACAACAACAACAAAAATGTTTGTGTGAAATAAATTCTATATGTTATGCTCTATGTGGTACGCGRAGGCAAACGACGAAAAATAAAAGCGTGCATAAATAATTTGAAAGTGCACTACAACTCGAAAGTAAAAGGAAAAGCAAAATGCAAGCAACAACAACAACAAGCTGAATAAATATTTGCTATTTGTGTGTACAAAAAAAAAAAAATAGAAAATAAAAGCGGGCGACGCGATGCCAGCGAAATTGTCACGCGTTAAGCGTCTTTGTGAAAATGTGAAAATTCGAAAGATTCCGCCCAAGTGTCTGCTCGCCGTAGTGTTTTGTGCAATTGTGTAATCATTTGCGAAGATTGGCAGAAAATTTTCAAAAAAAAAAAAAAAAAAAAAAATTGGGAAATATAAAAAATTGATTTACATAAAAAGCAAAAGTGGTTTTCTGTGGCCAGAAAAGTGCAATAAAGTAGCAAACTCAATTCGAGACTTATTAACTACCGGCATAACTAGCTGGCGGTGCGCCAGTCACGAGCGGCAGACTGCAGCGACGAAAGGGAAAAAAGGTAGGCGTACGAAATTTTTATAATATTTTTGATTTTTTTTATAGCAATATTTTTTTTAATTTGTTTTATATTTTTTTTCGATATTATTTTATATATTTTTCCAATAATTCTACATAAAAGGCACGCACACAACCACAAACCTGTGCAAAATGCGTGTCAACGTTACGCATGTAATCGCATAGTAATGTTTGTTGTTGTGCTATACTTCTACGCCGTTATCTCGTTCGTGACAGCAAATTATTGTATAATTTATGTATTTTTTCACCAAGTCACATTTTATATTCTAGTAGATTTCACTTGTCATTTGTCTCTTTTTCCTGCTCAATTACATAATGCGAATGTGTGCGCGATAACGTACGTGCATACATACATACAAATAAAGAAACATATCTATGTGCCAGATATGCGCGCCTTCCGTCGGTTAGTGAGCGAGCAGAGCAAATAGGTGTATGAATGAATTTTCACATT